CCATACTACCAACCTTGGAACACAAGAGAATAGGGAATTTACCTCGGCCCGAAAGGATTTTAAAAATATACTCCTGAGTTCAACCTTTAGTGCATTATTTAACGGTGCTTGTTTTGTTTTTCCTTGCTTCTCAATGATCTCCCCTGCTTTCCTTGCTTTTCCTTGCTTCTCAGTGCGTCTTTGCTTTTGCTTTTCCGGCTTTTATGTGCTTGTGTTGCTTTTTCGTGCTTTTGCTGCTGGTGTTGTGCTTGCTTTGTATTTCTGCCTTTTCTCCTGATTGGCTTTATGTTTCTTTTTGTAGCGTATTGATTCCCTTTCGTATTTTGTTCTTTCTGTGGTCTTTGTTGCTGTCGCTTTTGATTAGTAGCCTTTCAGTCCTTGAGTCAGGGAGTCGTAATTAATTATGTTTTGCTTGTTTTCTGCCTTTCTATGCTATTCCTAATCTTGGTGATTTGCACGACTGGTGATGCGCTTCGGCCGAAGTTGTGTTTTTGCTTTACCCCCATGCGGTAGCCACGAATCTGCACTAAGTCACTAAGATCACTAAGTGTCATGCCTTTTACAACATCTTTGTCCAGCGTGCAAAACCCATCGCCCGGCATGCTTATTTTTTGGGAAATTCGCAGAGTGCTGCGCCTGCCACCGGAGAAAGACGATCAAACAACAACTTAATATACCTTTTGGTGATGTTTCACCAGCTGTCACACTAATATGAAGAATGTGCACATCAGACACAGCCCCATAACAGTGGATGCTTAAGGCCACCAGGCTTTGGCCATTTGACAAAAGACTTCGATGCTTAGATCAGCGAGGTTTACAAAGCGCTGCCAAGGTAAAATTTAGTACAGGTTTGTGAGCCACCCGAGGTTAAAATTTGGAGGCTAAACCGTAGGATACCTTTTGTAAGCCACCCGAGGGCATACAGTGCTGCGCCTGCCCGCACAAAAAAAAAAAAAAGCTAAAAAAGACAAAGCTTTTGAATAATAGTGACATAACACAATCACAACTGACGACGGTGGATGCTCAGGGCTACTAGGTTTTTGCCATCTGACGTACACCTAGACGTTAAGATCAGTGCTACTTGCTTCCCAAAGTGCACTCCGAGGTTCACAAAATGCTGCACGCCAGGAAATCTGCATTTCCAGCCCTACCAGCACCAAAAAAGAACACACAATTAATCCCGGACCTTGTCTAACGGGCTTATCCAGGTTGACAAAATGCTGTGCCTGCCACCACAGCGCACCGGGAATTGTACTTTTGATCCTGTTCTTTATTGTTGTGTGATGCCCTGGGGTATTTGTTTGATGCCGGTTTCCTGATTTGTGTTGCTTGAGAGCGTGTTGAGCAGCTGTGGAGCTTCAACGGTGTCATAGTCAATCTACTCTCGTCTTCAGGTTTTCAATGGGAGTTGTGTTCTATGAGATGTGGCGTCAGCCATTTTTCACGGTCAGACACCCAGCTGGGAAGGAGGTTATGGATGGGGATGATAGGGTATGGCGGGCATGGTTTGTTGTATATGGATGTATGGTTTGTTTTTGTTGCTTGTGGTGTGTTCTTCCAACACTTGCTATACCTTGCTGAAGACTAACATGGACCCTGAAAACCACTAAACAGTCGTTAAGGCTGCCATTCTCACAATCCGTGTTAGTTTTCGGGGGTGTACTTGTTGCCATCAAGGCCATGGAACGAGCCCAAGTGCCTGGTGCTTAGAACTGGGGGGTGGAATTGTCCAACGCCTGGAGCCTTCCACACATCAGGCTGGGCAAAATGGCACTGGGGCTGTCATCCTTGGATCGCATCAAGGTTTGAAAGTTTTTTGTCAGATAGATATGGATAGAATTCGCGTGCATGCATGACAGCAGATATCATCTAGAATCTAGAACAATGAGATGCCACCGACTGCATCACTGTGCAAAGTTCAACATATATTCACGTTTCTTTTTGTTCGACATTCACAGGAAGCCCAGGAGCTCTTGCCAGAGGCAGGGCAAGCACTGCAAACACGGAGCCCACTTCCCACACATTCCCATGTTTCCTTGTGAGGCGCCCCCAGAGGCTGCCAAAGTGCTAGCCTCCCTTTTGGCCACCGATCCCGGCGTCCGAAACTGAGAGTGCAGAAAAGGCAATGAGGCAATGGAGAATGGAATGGCTTGGAGTGATTTAGTTTTAGACCACTTTTGGAATGGTTTGGCCATGACAGAGAGGCTGCACGGAGCACCGTTTTGAGGAGCGGATGACGGCTGACCATTTGTCAAACTCTCATTTTAGCTTCGCAAATCTCTTCAACATGTTTACAGTACGGAAATTGTTCAACGCCTTTCAGAGATTCTCTAATGGCTCCGGTTCACTGCAAGATGGTGCACGCGAGGCTAAATCGCTCTGGTCTTCTACCTTCTGGTGCGTTTGATCCGCAGGCCAGCTGCTTGAGCAGAGGGCAAGATATGTTTTCCCTTCCAGTGTTTACCTGTTTGCCTCACAAAGGTTCAACGAGTACTTCAAGCCTTGGAAGCCAAAAGACTCAGCCGTAAGTGGTGCTTGGAGCCCAGAGCAATGCCGCAAGACCTGCTGCAAGGATCCAAGCTCTTCAGAGTCTGTGGCACTACTCCAGGCGCAGCTTCAATAGTTGAACTTCTGAACGCATTGTGGTCGGTGTCCTTCTTGGAACGACACGCTCAAGGACATTCAAGGATGTCCCTGAGTGTCCTTGAGTGTATTGCAGCGTTCAATTTGTGAATGTCCTTGAAAATGCTCTCAACTGTCTTGATGAGTGTCCTTCGGTGGCTTGTCTACATTTTGAGTGCCCTGGTAAGCAATTTACAGAGTTTTTTTGCCCGCGATTTCCATCGAAGTCTGCTTGGGCTGAGATCAAAGGTGGTTGACTGTCTACATCTTGAGTGTCCTTGGTTTTCTTTTAGGGTGACCACGGCAGACAGTTAAATCTCGAGCAATGGCCAGCAGATGCAACCCGTCCAACAATGCAAATGTTGCTGGGCTTCAACCTCTCATTTTCGGGACCCCGGATTTCAGTTGGGCGCTTTGTACTCAAATTGTTTGTGGAGCTGAGGTTATTCACTGATCAACTTGTAAGAATTCAATCCGTGACATTAGGACATCGCATTGGCAAGATGATCAGTCAGTGTTCCGTCCAGGTCCTGATCCATTCAGGTGAATAATGAATGGCCAGGAGGTAGTGTCTCTAACCAGTTCCCAGTTTCCGCTTTTGCGGAGGAGGCTGAAGCAGATGCAAGAGCTTTGCAAACTGTGAGCATTTGGTTCTTACGGGGCGGTGAGTGTCCACAGCGGATGCCGCCTCTCCAACTTCAAGTCATTAAAGGATTGGTCAATGATAATCAATCCTTCTGATTTTGTCCCAATGTTCCTGGGTGTCCTTGGGTCGTGGCCCGTTCTTTTCTCAACTTAAATATGTGCGCTTTTCTCGTCAAATAGTTCCCTTGTTCCCTCGGAATCATAGAGACATGATGAGAGATGCAGTCTTTGAGTCGATCGGTCACTCAGTGACATTGAGTATTTTTGAGTGGTGACTGGTCCAGTTTGGAGATTTGGGAATTTTTGGGAGTATCGCGCTCAGAATGATCTGGATTGATTGCACCCCCTCTCTTAGAACAGGATTTTCTTCCTGGCATTCCGTATACGTACTTTGACAGGCCCCCCACCCGAATCAGTATGACAAGACTTTGTAAACGTTGGGTTGTGTGCTTTGCATTGTTGCATTGCTGGTGCACGAACGTGGCACTTGCTGGGGCAAGTCAAAAAGAACCATGTGGCTTTGTGAAAGCTGGGAGGCGCTTTTCAACCGCGCCGAGGAGCCTGCCAAGGACACCTCTCGGGTCTTGATGCTTTGTGTTTTGGGTCAAGATCACCGACATTCTTTGCCGATTTGACGGGTTCCAATGGTTTGGCAAGTTATATAGCTTCAGACAAGATGCAACTCAACAAGGCTCAACAAGGTGCATCAAAGGGCAAAGCTTCCCAAATTATCGGTTTTGAACCTGAAGGGCAACCAACCACTTCACCAGCGTAAGGCCACGCCACTCTGCCTCACCACCGGAAACATACCGCCTCACAGATGGAACTTACAATTCGTTTTTTTACAGGGAGCATTCGGACCGCCAACATGGCCGCATGGAATTCTTAGTGTGGGTGCGTGCGGAGAGGAAGTCGGAACGTCGCACGTCCCCGGTGCCAGAGCGGATGGCAACATATCGGTCTCGGTGGACCCAGGGTCCGTGAGCCACCTGGTGACTTTCAGCTTTTTTTGGCGAGTTCTGGCTGTAGGGTGCGATGAGGTGCTGCTTGGGTGCTTAGTGAAATTAGTTGCAAGCCGCCTTGATAAAGAGATGATTCATCAGGTCACACAAGACTGGGATTTGGTCTCAATAAGCCATTTAGCCCGAGACAAGCATCAAGCATCCAATGGACCGCAGCTGCAGAGCTGACAAGCGTCTCGCCGCCATGAGGTGGATTCCTGCAGAATCACTGGATATGATGCCACGTTTAACTGAAATGGTAGGTCCTTTTTGCCCAAAATGTCAACATGCGCGGATGCAAGACGCTCATCGCACAGAACACACCCGACGAACACATCGGGAAGTGGCGGAACAATGCGGGACATGGCCCGTAGGAGGAGTATGTTCCGAGTGCCAAACCTCAGATGCTCGGGTGCACTCCACCAGACCATGTTCCCGGTGCGAAGGTTGTACGACGCGGTGGTGACTTGCCCAAGCTGTTTTTGCATTGCTATTGCTACTTGTCCAAACTGGTTGACAACAGCAGCAATTGTTTAAAGTATGCTGGAATTATATAATGATTCAAATGCCATCCAACAACACACGCTACCACATTTTAGTGTTCAGACTCCGTTGCTTGTGTGGCCACCATGCACATCAGCCAATCTCATGAGGTTTTCAGAGTTTCTTTCTCTCGGACAGCCGACATTCACTGTTTGACTTTCAGCCAACTACCCTCAGAAAGTTGTAGCCATGGCGCCTAGCAGCGGTGAAGCCCAAGGTTTCAAGTCCCTTGATTGAAGCGGATACGGGAACAGACTGGAAACGGTGCTTGTCGTGCACCACATCCACATGCAATTGAGCCCAAATCACCAAGGTTGGAATTTGCGGATCTTCTGCCTCCGCTGTCAACGAAGAACTTCTTGGAGGAATACTGGGGAAGGCCATGCTGCACAGTCGTGCAAGTGTTTGTTACGTTTTTGCCGCGCATCAGACTCACTCCACTTAGTTAAGCACTCTTTGTCCTGTGTCTTGTCAGGTTTGGCTTGGTCAGTTGAAGGAAAGATGCATAAAGTAACCAATGCCGATGCCATTTGTCTGAATGACTGCCACGACCTCACTCAGCGAGGAAGCCTTTTTCGACCTCACTCAGCGAGGACCGACGCTGCATATCAGACTGTGCGGGCACTGAGTCGCAGCCGTGTCGGGAGCAGGACATGCTGACCATCATCAGTGTTGGGTTTTATGATGGCAATTTGGCCGAATGTGTGCTTTGGCCTGTTATGTGCCATGTTCCGCCCGAGTGTGGAGAGCAGATTGAATCTAATTAGTTGTGATGACTGCCGTGGATCCGCGCCAGGTTGCTTGTTGCCGAAAGGACAGCTGCATGATTGTGGTTTGGCTCCTTTCTCTTCCTGTAAACTCTCAACACACATCCTGCTTTTCAAATACCTGGTAAAGGCACAGATCGGTCTGGGGAGATTGGAGCACAAAATGTGATGGGTTTTTGTGACAACAATTGATGTTGTAAAGGCTTGTTGTTGTTGTTGCTGTTGTTGCTGCTGCTGCTGGTGTTGTTGTTGTTGTTGTTGCGGGTTGTGTGTTGTCCGTGAGTTGCACATGAGGACAGAAATGCCATTAGCATCCATTATCATCACAAAGTTCTATTCGCAAATGTGCAGGATACATGATTGCTTGTTTTGATGTGATAAACTAAATCATGTTCAGACATGCATCAGTCTCAGCTACCGACATCCGGAGCAAAGACCTGTGGAAGGAGTTGTTTATCACTGGGAGGTTGGCTTCATTTTATGGAAATGAGAGGAACTTTAACATGTTTTTCTGTGCCGCACTAGCGGTTTCAGGAGTTTGATTCCGAACATATATATATATATTATTTTCCGTTCGAACCTTGTTTACTCAAGTAGTGACGGCTACGGTGCCTCGAAACAAGGGATACACACACATTTCAATGCATATATAAATGTCCCAGTGCTCAATGGATTGGACCGTCCATTTCTTCAAGGATGGCCTGGGTTCTGCAAAGGTTTGGCACTGAATCCTTGATTTTTGCGGCCTGTGCTGCTGTTGTGGCTAGCTATATAGTGATGGGATTCTTAATAATGTTGATTCTTTCGGAATCCATTTTTTTGGCAGAAGTCTGTCACTCGTGTCAAGGAGGACAATTCCAGCTTCACCGAGTCTGACTTGGATAATTTTCAATCAGACCTCGATCAAAGGAGGAGTTCCACTCCCTTTTTCCTTCCCCTATAGTTTCCCCTATCTATTTATCTATCTATCTGTCTATCTACCTTTCACTCTCTTTCAGGAGCGTCATCTTACCATTTTGCTTCACGTGCCTTGGAGACCTGCAGGTAGATGTTCGATGCTTTGTTGAACTCAGTGTCAGTGTCTCACTCTCGTGCTCGAGGCCAGGTGCCCTGGATATGAAACGTTCGTTTGTACGCGACTGCCCCGGGAATCTTGTTTGCAATGAGTTTGTTTTTAGATATCCTTTTGTTGGAAGTAGGCCGCCAGGACGGGGGTTAGGAAACTAGGGGTAGCTATAGCAAGATAAGCCTATGCCTATTAGCAAGCATCTCCTAGTAGTAAAGACGCAATAGAGCTCGTGTTCTTCAACGGTGCCATCGAAACTCCTAGATGTTTGGAACCTACCTCTTTACTTGGCCCCCCAGGGCCAGAAACTCCGCAAATTGCTAGACTGGCTGATCATTCCGTTGTTACCACAGCCAGGTATGGAAACGATATTGAGGTGGGCATGTACTTTTCGCGGCCCGGAGTTGAACCAGCCAAAGCCTTGGCGTCACCAGACATCAATCAAGACAGTCACCCTTGATGCGTTTTTGACGCCAAAAGTTCAAGGGTTCTTCCTTTTGTATCTCAATGATGCTTGAGCTCAGGCGCCCTGGCATTATGATCCGCAACTTTGCTTAAACGTTTGGAAGCACAGTAAAGTTGGATCCAAACACCTTGCCATGAGCTGACTTATCTCGGCAACCCAATCAGCTGTGCCAAGTTGCAGAGGAATCACAATGTAACGATCCAGATTGTCGGTGAGAAGGACTGGCATTATTCACCAGGCTCTTTGGCTCGAGCAATTGGCTCAAACAGCTTGACATGTAATGCCATATGGGAAAAAACAGATTATCACAAGAGAAGTCATGAACTGCAGAGTGCGAATGCCAGAGGCCACTTCTTTGAGCAATGTACATTACACCGTTGGCTTCAGCATCATGTGCATTGATGGTGCAACTGCCCCTAGCAGCGTCCTTGCTCCTCGTAGTAAGGCCAGGAGCCCCTAGTAGCGTCCTTGCTCCTAGTAGTAAGGCCAGGAGCCCCTAGTAGCTTCTTGTTCCTAGTAGCGATGCCAGGAGCCCCTAGTAGCATCCTTGCTCCTAGTAGTAAGGCCAGGAGCCCCTAGTAGCTTCTTGTTCCTAGTAGCGATGCCAGGAGCCCCTAGTAGCGTCCTTGCTCCTAGTAGCAAGGCCAGGAGCCCCTAGTAGCTTCTTGTTCCTGGTAGCGATGCCAGGAGCCCCTAGTGCGTCCTTGCTCCTAGTAGTAAGGCCAGGAGCCCCTAGTAGCTTCTTGTTCCTAGTAGCGATGCCCGGAGCCCCTAGTAGCGTCCTTGCTCCTAGTAGTAAGGCCAGGAGCCCCTAGTAGCTTCTTGTTCCTAGTAGCGATGCCGGAGCCCCTAGTAGCGTCCTTGCTCCTAGCAGTAAGGCCAGGCCCTAGTAGCTTGTTGTTCCTAGTAGCGATGCCAGGAGCCCCTAGTAGCGTCCTTGCTCCTAGTACTAAGGCCAGGAGCCCCTAGTAGCTTCTTATTCCTAGTAGCGATGCCAGGAGCCCCTAGTAGCGTCCTTGCTCCTAGTAGTAAGGCCAGGAGCCCCTAGTAGCATCCTTGC